TAGGTAAACAGAGGAGTCATATATAGGTAAACAGAGGAGTCATATATAGGTAAACAGGAGTCATATATAGGTAAACAGAGAAGTCATATATAAACAAAACAGCATCGCGGCGCATGATAAGCTCAGAAAAATTACAATTAAGTCTCCAGGAGTCCTGACGAGGAAACTTACTTTAAAGAAACTTCAAGTTTATCATACAAACATTAAAATAAAACACGAAAGAAAAAACACGCAGAAACAGCAGACTCCCGGTGGGGGCCGGTCGGCCGAGTGGACAGCACGCTGGACTTGTGATCCTGTGGTCCTGGGTTCGATCCCAGGTGCCGGCGAGAAACAATGGGCAGAGTTTCTTTCACCCTATGCCCCTGTTACCTGGCAGTAAAATAGGTATCTGGGTGTTAGCCAGCTGTCACGGGCTGCTTCCTGGGGGTGTAAGCCTGGTCGAGGACCGGGCCGCGGGGACACTAAAGCCCCGAAATCATCTCAAGATAACCTCAAGATAACTGACTACCCATTGCTTGATCACTCCCAGACCGCTAGAATCAGTTTAAAGTCCTAGTGACTACTTCCTCCATAATCTGCTAAGGTCATGACCCCATCCGTACGAAGGTCACCCGCGTCCTACACACAGAAGTCCTGACCAATCATCGCATCTCAGTGGTTAGTGAGATGCGATGATTGGCCAATCCACACACTAGAAAATGAAGGGACGACGACGTTTCGGTCCGTCCTGGACCATTCTCTAAGTATGGCCCAGGACGGACCGAAACGTCGTCGTCCCTTCACCTTCTAGTGTGTGGTCTGGTCAACATACTTCAGCAACGTTATTGTGACTCCTCGCCTGCATGCGGTGATTGGCCAATCACAACCAAAACAACGTTTTTCAAGTCGACAGTGTATCACAGTTGCCCCCGGTCACTGCTGACGAACCCCAGAGTGTAGAGTGCTGTCACTCCGTCGACACAACTCTCCCGTCTGTCTTCGAACTGCGGGTTCACCATAGCCCGTGCTACTTAGAACTTTGTTCCAGGTAGCGAATCTTTAACAACAACAACAACCTTCTGTCTAATTCTATCAAGTATTTACGTGAATATGTTTATAAACTAGTGAACCTCCGTCCTAACTCTCTATAAGTTCTACCCCTGTCTAAACTAGTGAACCTCCGTCCTAACTCTCTATAAGTTCTACCCCTGTCTAAACTAGTGAACCTCCGTCCTAACTCTCTATAAGTTCTACCCCTGTCTAAACTAGTGAACCTCCGTCCTAACTCTCTATAAGTTCTACCCCTGTCTAAACTAGTGAACCTCCGTCCTAACTCTCTATAAGTTCTACCCCTGTCTAAACTAGTGAACCTCCGTCCTAACTCTCTATAAGTTCTACCCCTGTCTAAACTAGTGAACCTCCGTCCTAACTCTCTATAAGTTCTACCCCTGTCTAAACTAGTGAACCTCCGTCCTAACTCCCTATAAGTTCTACTCCTGTCTAAACTAGTGAACCTCCGTCCTAACTCTCTATAAGTTCTACTCCTGTCCAAACTAGTGAACCTCCGTCCTAACTCTCTATAAGTTCTACTCCTGTCTAAACTAGTGAACCTCCGTCCTAACTCCCTATAAGTTCTACTCCTGTCTAAACTAGTGAACCTCCGTCCTAACTCTCTATAAGTTCTACTCCTGTCTAAACTAGTGAACCTCCGTCCTAACTCCCTATAAGTTCTACTCCTGTCTAAACTAGTGAACCTCCGTCCTAACTCTCTATAAGTTCTACTCCTGTCTAAACTAGTGAACCTCCGTCCTAACTCCCTATAAGTTCTACTCCTGTCTAAACTAGTGAACCTCCGTCATAACTCCCTATAAGTTCTACCCCTGTCCAAACTAGTGAACCTCCGTCCTAACTCCCTTAAACTCCCCGTCTGTCAAGTCAATGATAATTTGATGGTTGCCACTGTCGGCCAGAATGCTGGCTGTCGAGTCTGCTGTCACCTATACCAGGCCGACACACCCTCATCCCATCACCACCACCTCAACAACAACATGCACTCACATCCAACTACCCCCCCCCCCCCCACTCATACAAACAAGATTTTTCCTTCCATAGCAATTCAGTGGTTTCGTGGCGTCCGCGTATCAAACAGATAGTTTGGGTCTTCTCTGTCTAGCAAGAAGCTGTACCTCCCTCCAGAACGTGTCCTCAATTGCAGAGAATGTTTGCAAAGAATATCTTCCTTGTTGTGCCCAACAGGTTCCGTAGGCGTTTTCATTCTCTCCCCCCATGGCCTGGCAGACTAGCCAAATTGTTGTTTTTCACAGGACTGTCGTCCATCAGAGGGTTATTGCGTTAAGATGGGACAAGTCCGCATCGACGTCCCTTCTTCAGATAGTCCAGTTTAGCCTTTCTGCGAGGCGGCGCATAGTTCGTCTTGCACAATGTTGGGATCCATCATCCCCTGACCTAGTGTGTTACTTATGGTCTAGTGTGTTACTTGTGGTCTAGTGTGTTACTTGTGGTCTAGTGTGTTACTTGTGGTCTAGTGTGTTACTTGTGAACAAGTGTGTTACTTGTGTACAAGTGTGTTACTTGTGGTCTAGTGTGTTACTTGTGTACAAGTGTGTTACTTATGGTCTAGTGTGTTACTTGTGATCTAGTGTGTTACTTGTGTACAAGTGTGTTACTTATGGTCTAGTGTGTTACTTGTGTACAAGTGTGTTACTTGTGTACAAGTGTGTTACTTGTGTACAAGTGTGTTACTTGTGCACAAGTGTGTTACTTATGGCCTAGTGTGTTACTTCTTACTTAGTGTGTTACTTGTGACCTCCCTACAACATGAAGGGAACATCACATGTCAGCCATACGGAACACTAGACAAGGTCTCGGACCAGGGACTCGACAAGCAGCTCCTGCGCTCCTCGGCAGTTCCACCACTTCCCTGGGAGTGTGTTTCGCTGGTCCAACTTATAATGGGTCTATCTGAACTAAGTTGCCTCAGGGATTGCCTGGAACCCGCCTGACTTTATGAACTTAGATTACAAGTCCAATTAAAGCATTTAAGATCGTCTATGTTCTTAATCTGTTACACAGAAATTGAAATTATTGAAGAACACCGGAGAGAACTTCAATAACAACGGGTTTGGAAGAGATGAACAGAGATGAACAAGATTCAAATTTAAGATGTTCTGGACCGTTGGTAGGTCGTGATTGTTGGGGGCATGATGGCTGAGTGGACATCGCTCGGGATTCGTAGTCCTAAGGTTCCGGGTTCGATCCCAAAGGTGGAAAGAAATTGGCAGAATTTCTTTCACTCTGCTGCCTCTGTCACCTAGCAGTAAATAGGTACCTGGGAGTTAGACAGCTGCTACGGGCTGCTTCCTGGGGGATGTGTAACAAAAAGGAGGCCCTGGTCGAGGACCGGGCCGCGGGGACGCTAAGCCCCGAAATCATCTCAAGATAATCAGGATAAATCGATTCATCATCACTAATCTCTAGGACAAATTGTTAGGCTATTTCTAGTGTACTGAACGAGTCAATATGTCCTCATGAGTGTGTGAGTTTAGTGTTAAACTTGCGTTAGTAGGCATTAATGTTCGTTACTCACTAGATGAGTTGAGTAACTAGCTCCCAGCAGCAAGCGGTGAGTCAGTATACTCATCATGTGAGTCTAATATTTGCTTTACTCAAAGGACTTTTGTACCTTACATTAACCAAATTTCTCCAGGCGAAATTTTCATGGTATTTGGAAGCAATCTCTTAAGGTGTATTGTGTCGCATTATGCGTCGTCTGACAGCCTTGTGAGACCACACAATGGTCTCCAGATGTGTAGTCAAGACTGGTGTTCACTCTCGCTCCAGTCACCAGGATTGGTCAAGACTGGTGTTCACTCTCGCTCCAGTCACCAGGATTGGTCAAGACTGGTGTTCACTCTCGCTACAGTCACCAGGATTGGTCAAGACTGGTGTTCACTCTCGCTACAGTCACCAGGATTGGTCAAGACTGGTGTTCACTCTCGCTACAGTCACCAGGATTGGTCAAGACTGTTGTTCAAAAGAGAGACTGAAGGAACCAGACCTGACAACGCAAGAAAAGAGGAGAGAGTGGGGAGACATGATAGAGATGTATAAAATATTTAGATTGAAAGAGTGGAAAAAGAGGAAATCAACCGCTTGGGCTGGACGGTAGAGCGACTGTCTCGCTTCATGCAGGTCGGCGTTCAATCCCCGACCGTCCAAGTGCTTGTGCACCATTCCTTCCCCCCGTCTCATCCCAAATCCTTATCCTGACCCCTTCCCAGTGCTGTATAGTCGTGGAGACTTGAGTGAGTCAAAGTGATGTTAGAAAATTTTCTTTAAGCGTAAGAATAGTGGAGAAAATTTAATAATTTAAAGGAGCAGATTATAGCAGAAAACTCCTTTCATAATTTTAAAATTACTATTAGAGAACAAATTCACAAGGGCCGTGATGAGGATTCGAACTTACGCCCGGGATGATCCCAGACACTGCGTTAGTTGACTAGACCACGATATGGTCAAAAGAATTGCAACTGGGAATACAAGGGAATTCACAAGGAACCTGCAGCCTCTCCGAGACACAAACCAGGGTTTTACATAATTCCCCCCCGTGCACTCTGTAAAACACTGGTTTGTGTCTCGGAGAGTATGCAGGATCCGTGTGAATTCAGTGGAATTCCCGATTGCAATTCTTTTGACCATGTCGTTGCCTAGTCGACTAAGGCAGCATCTGGGATCATCCCGGTCGTAAGTTCGAACGCTCATCACGGCCCTTGTGGATTTGTTCATTTGATGCATCACGCTTTTGTGATTTCTGTGTGATTTTAGAGAAATAGGTCAGTAGTCATTGCAGTAGACAACCGGCGACTAGAGAACCGGAGTCCAAGAGCTAATACTCGATCCTGCAGGCCCAAATAGGTGCGTACACATACACACACACACATACACAATATATATTTGTAAGATATTAGTAAACTATGCTAATTCTTGAGTCAGTCGTAGCCTCGTAGTGGCGTCGTAGCCTGGTGGATAGCGCGCAGGACTCGTAATTCTGTGGCGCGGGTTCGATTCCCGCACGAGGCAGAAACAAATGGGCAAAGTTTCTTTCACCCTGAATGCCCCTGTTACCTAGCAGTAAATAGGTACCTGGGAGTTAGTCAGCTGTCACGGGCTGCTTCCTGGGGGTGGAGGCCTGGTCGAGGACCGGGCCGCGGGGACACTAAAGCCCCGAAATCATCTCAAGATCTCAAGATAGTCGTAAGGACAATGTTGATCTTTGACACACACCTCACACTACTAATCTCTTGTGAGTCACCTGAAGATTTTACACCTGTGAATTACCTCATATATTGTGAGATCACTTCACAATAACGGGGCTAAAGTAAGTTGACCAGACCACACACTGGAAGGTGAAGGGACGACGACGTTTCGGTCCGTCCTGGACCATTCTCAAAGTCGTGTTTGTGTAAATCATACACATATGAGTCAATCATGGTCCAGGATGGACCGAAACGTCGTCGACCAGACCACACACTAGAAGGTGAAGGGACGACGATGTTTCGGTCCGTCCTGGACCATTCTCAAGGCGATTGTGGTCGTGGTCTCTCCATCTTCAGGTGTGTGGTCTGGTCAACACAACTGTTGTTGAGACACTGGTGATCCATCAAGTGTCTGACATTATGTACACTTTGAGTAAGTTGTGATGAGTAAGTTGTGTGAGGAAGACGACGCTGCTCTGAGCAGTAGGAGTAAAATATGAGTTAATTGATTATATCACAAGTGGGTTAAATGTATTAATTACCTGTGAAGGAAAATGACCTTCGCTCAAATGAGTCCAATGAATAAATTTGGGGCTCAGTTCCTGGAGCCAGATTCACGAAGCAGTTACGCAAGCACTTACGAACCTGGGGCCAGATTCACGAAGCAGTTACACAAGCACTTACGAACCTGGGGCCAGATTCACGAAGCAGTTACGCAAGCACTTACGAACCTGGGGCCAGATTCACGAAGCAGTTACGCAAGCACTTACGAACCTGGGGCCAGATTCACGAAGCAGTTACGCAAGCACTTACGAACCTGGGGCCAGATTCACGAAGCAGTTACGCAAGCACTTACGAACGTGTACATCTTTCCACAATCTATGACGGCTTTGGTTACATTTATTAAACAGTTTATAAGCATGAAAACTTGCCAATCAACTGTTGTTATTGTTATAAACAGCCTCCTGGTGCTTCGGAGCTCATTAACTGTTTAATAATTGTAAACAAAGCCGCCAAAGATTGAGAAAAGATGTACAGGTTCGTAAGTGCTTTCGTGAATCAGGCCCCAGGTCTCTCTCAGCTTGACGAGCCGCGACGCTAAAATTCCGCTCTGATATTGGCCGCTGGTTAGGTTAGGTGTCAGTTGGTCAAGTTATAATGAGTGTGGCACAGAGTGCCTCCGGGTATTGTCTCAAGCAGTTTACAGTCATCCCAGCGACCACCAGGGTGAACGGACCAAGTTCAATACACCAACGGACCAAGTTCAATACACCAACGGACCAAGTTCAATACACCAACGGACCAAGATCAATACACCAACGGACCAAGTTCAATACACCAACGGACCAAGTTCAATACACCAACGGACCAAGTTCAATACACCAACGGACCAAGTTCAATACACCAACGGACCAAGTTCAATACACCAACGGACCAAGTTCAATACACCAACGGACCAAGATCAATACACCAACGGACCAAGTTCAATACACCAACGGCCCAAGTTCAATACACCAACGGACCAAGTTCAATACACCAACGGACCAAGATCAATACACCAACGGACCAAGTTCAATACACCAACGGACCAAGTTCAATACACCAACGGACCAAGTTCAATACACCAACGGACCAAGTTCAATACACCAACGGACCAAGTTCAATACACCAACGGACCAAGTTCAATACACCAACGGACCAAGTTCAATACACCAACGGACCAAGTTCAATACACCAACGGACCAAGTTCAATACACCAACGGCCCAAGTTCAATACACCAACGGACCAAGTTCAATACACCAACGGACCAAGATCAATACACCAACGGCCCAAGTTCAATACACCAACGGACCAAGATCAATACACCAACGGACCAAGATCAATACACCAACGGACCAAGATCAATACACCAACGGACCAAGATCAATACACCAACGGACCAAGTTCAATGCACCAACGGACCAAGTTCAATACACCAACGGACCAAGTTCAATACACCAACGGACCAAGATCAATACACCAACGGACCAAGATCAATACACCAACGGACCAAGTTCAATGCACCAACGGACCAAGATCAATACACCAACGGACCAAGTTCAATGCACCAACGGACCAAGTTCAATACACCAACGGACCAAGTTCAATACACCAACGGACCAAGATCAATACACCAACGGACCAAGATCAATACACCAACGGACCAAGTTCAATGCACCAACGGACCAAGTTCAATACACCAACGGACCAAGATCAATACACCAACGGACCAAGATCAATACACCAACGGCCCAAGTTCAATACACCAACGGACCAAGTTCAATACACCAACGGACCAAGATCAATACACCAACACACAGGGTCGCAGCGGATACATACACTAAAAAGTATACATCCTGTTTCTCGGTGTATAGAGCGTGGATTTGTTTTCCCTTAAACGTGGTTCAGGGATAAAATATACATGCTGGAGGGTCAGTAGGGTGTTTCTGTGGCCTTAACAAGCCTTCAGTGGTTGATTGAGGTTCAAATCAAACTCTCAACAGTTGACAATTGCGTTTAGGATCTTGAAGTTAGAATTAACTTGTATCTATATGAACCGGACACATTACCACTACAGCGTCAAACTGGACGCTGGACACGTCCAGTGTCTGGACAATTTTGAGAAATAGTCAATATAAACCGTAATGTTGACCAGACCACACACTAGAAGTTGAAGGGACGACGACGTTTCGGTCCGTCCTGGACCATTCTCAAGTCGATTAAACCGTAATTATTCATTTGAAATTACAATTATAAACCAAAGTAACTTTAGAAACTTATACAAATATAAAGGAAAACAAACTCTAGATTACCAATTACAAACAATACAAATAAAATCTTACAAAATAATAAACAAATTACATTTAATACATCAATTAAACAGACATAAATAACAAACAAGTCACCGCTAACAAAAAAAATCAAGGGGGAACTAATACAAAAAATATATAGCCTACACGAAACATGAATATAGGACAAACATATATAAAGTTAACATAGTATACAACTATATAGCTAAATGCTGATTGTTCAACACAGGCCGCAGCTCTCTCATATATAATGACATCATTATACGGACATTAGGCTGACCACCCTTACGTATATTGAAGATTTTAATCTCTGACTCCAGGTAAGGCTGGTTCGTCTCCTGACAATGAAGCCTGATCTCTGAGAATGTTGGCTTAGATAATGGTAAGTCAGTCCTAAAACAGTCCTCTGTGCTCTAGTTCTCTCTCTATATATACGATGCTATAGGACAAACAAATGGTCAAACTCTAGGACAAAACTCTTTATATATAAATTCAGACTCTATTGAATTCGTATTAACCAAAAATAAAAAATAAAGTTGATCTGAGGATAAGAAGTTGACTGAGAATTTTTATTCGTTATCTTCAAGTGAACTTTTTGATTGATTTTTGTTAATATGAATACCATAGGATGTTTGGTACACCCAAATTTCCTTTTAGAAATAGTAATTTCTTAAATAATATAATATTTTCTATTTCCTTTTAGAAATAATGTGTTCCATTATCGTTTACGCTAGTCCTGACGCTAGCCCTCACGCTAGCTCTCACGATACTCCGGCCGCTAGCCCTCACGCTAGCTCTCACGATACTCCGGCCGCTAGCCCTCACGCTAGTCCGGACGCTAGCCCTCACGCTAGCCCTCACACTAGCCCTCACGCTAGCCCTCACACTATCCCTCATGCTAGCCCTCACAGTAGCCCTCACGCTAGCCCTCACGCTAGCCCTCACGCTAGCAGCAGTTATGGAGAACCCTTCAAGCACTCCCCCTCCGTAGCACACTCGCTAGTACGTCCAACCAGTAAGTCCACAGCGGTCAACTAGCCCGCTGGCTAGCACCTTCAAGAGTGATGTCAACAGTTACCTTCTTATGTGTTCTTTCCTTCGCCTTGTGATGGTGGTGAGGTGGTCCGTCCTGGCCGGTATTAAGGTCTCATCAACAATGTTTTCATCTTCATTCTACTGTCCTCTGATGAAGGTTTTTCATCGGAGAACTAGCCAGAGGGATAGAAGACTTAATACCTGAAAATAATCAATCCAGAATATGCAGTCATATTCAATAAATGTATAAATGAAAACCTGCTGCCAGTATACACCAATATATATATATATATATATATATATATATATATATATATATATATATATATATATATATATATGCAGGCGATGAGCCACAATAACGTGGCTGAAGTATGTTGACCAGACCACACACTAGAAGTTGAAGGGACGACGACGTTTCGGTCCGTCCTGGACCATTCTCAAGTCAAGACAATCGACTTGAGAATGGTCCAGGACGGACCGAAACGTCGTCGTCCCTTCAACTTCTAGTGTGTGGTCTGGTCAACATATATATATATATATATATATATATATATATATATATATATATATATATATATATATATATATACATGAACACAGAAGCGGAATACATAGGAACACAGCCATAAAGTACACCTCAGCGGAGTCAGCCAGTGTCTTGAACCATTTGTGCATCAGAGAGAGAGGGAGAGTCGCACCCTGGAGATACGACACAGGAAACCCGCCTTTAAACTATCCACTTTGTACCGCTCCATTACCGGCGGAGGCTCCCTATCCCTCCTAGCCGCCTCCCAGACACCCGCCGAGGTCCACCTTCACCAGCGATCTTCACATCAGTGCTCCTCGAGGGCCTCGTCCTCAACACCAATTCAATCTAGAGTGTCACACACGAGTTTCTTGCCTGATCGTTCTCGTTTGGGCTCTTTTCCCCTTCCCGATTGTGACCTTTGACCTCAGTCACCACACTTGCCACCGGGTCGCCCTTCATTACCCGCACGACCGGGAAATTTTGTCGTACAAGGAGATAGGATTCGGTGCAAATTGTTGACCAAAGGAGTTGTCTTCTGTCGTTATTCCTTCCCCTCTACGTATTTTATATATATATATATATATATATATATATATATATATATATATATATATATATATATATATATATATATATATATATATATATATATATATATATATATATATATATATATATATCACACGTGTCAAGGAATATGAAACCAAGAGTTAGATCAATCATAACTCCACAAATCTAAATATATGTTTATATTCTTCACTAGTTATGAAAGAAGAGGTTAAAATATCTCTCCAAAGTTCATTTTGCTATTTAAGATTTACCTGGCAATGGTCGCTAATGTGTTTGGCTAAAGCACTCCTCAGCATCTTCGGAGGCAGAGGTGACCATATACCCGGTATAGGATGTCAGGTGTACCCCAGTCATGGGTACTGGCCACTCTCACATTGTCACTGCTCAGCGGAGGCTGTAGATCTTTGTACATTATTATATGAACATTCTTGTTATTTTTTATATACAAGAGTTCTTACTCTTATATATACAAGAGTTCTTACTCTTATATATACAAGAGTTCTTACTCTTATATATACAAGAGTTCTTACTCTTATATATACAAGAGTTCTTACTCTTATATATACAAGAGTTCTTACTTTTATATATACAAGAGTTCTAACTCTTATATATACAAGAGTTCTTACAGCCACCAGAACGCGTAGTGTTTCTTGAGGTTATCTTGAGATGATTTCGGGGCTTTAGTGTCCCCGCGGCCCGGTCCTCGACCAGGCCTCCACCCCCAGGAAGCAGCCCGTGACAGCTGACTAACACCCAGGTACCTATTTTACTGCTAGGTAACAGGGGCATAGGGTGAAAGAAACTGTGCCCATTGTTTCTCGCCGGCGCCTGGGATCGAACCCAGGACCACAGGATCACAAGTCCAGCGTGCTGTCCGCTCGGCCGACCGGCTCCCCTTCCGGGCAGGTTCTTAATCCTAATTTTCCCCCGGAATACGACCCGCCAAATCGTTTAACAACCAGGAACCCATTCACTGCTGGGTGAACAGAGGCGTACAGATTTAGGATTGGCGCCTAGTTAATCCTCTTCGGCCAAGATACGAACCCTGGCCAAAACGCTCGTGAAACGCCGGACGAGTGTCTTACCACTGCGCCACGGAGTCCCCGCCCCCCCCCCCAAAAAAAAAACTTCTTGCACGACAGAATACGTGACATGACCTTTAAGACATGTCAATCACACGTCCTCCCCTCCCCCCCTCAATTACTGCAACTTCTTCAATAACCTCTAAAAAGAGATGCAATACATAACAATATTCAATACAGTTTTGTTGCAATTATGGCCCCATTTCCCATATTTTGCAACACTTTGGGAATTAGGGAATTATCGTGCAAGCCTTTAGGACTATGTAGCACTCGGAAGGGATAAGGATTTGGGATGGGACGGGGGAAAGGAATGGTGCCCCAACACATAGTCAATGAGACTTTCAGGTGGTGACGTGTTGACGAGTCACGTGGCTGTCTCATATCGTATTCTTTTGAAGATCTTATCCATTGAAACTTAGGGCCCAGAGTTGAATTATTCATCAAAAGCCTCGCAGCACCCCAGGTCTGCGCGCTTGTCAAGATGTGACGGAGGCTGACTGGGAGGAGTTTATGGGAGGGGAAGATGTGGGAGGGGGAGATGTGGGAGGGGGAGATGTGGGAGGGGAAGATGTGGGAGGGGAAGATGTGGGAGGGGTGAGACGTAGAGTGAGAGACAGTGTGAGGGGCAGGGAGAGGCAGTGTGAGGGGCTGGGAGAGGCAGTGTGAGGGGCTGGGAGAGGCAGTGTGAGGGAGTGAGAGAGATAATGTGAGAGGGTGAGACACCAATAATCATTGTACCTGAGGAGGGTCTCCAGAAACTGTAAGTTAAAGACTTGAAACTTCTTGCGACATAATGGTTCGGTTCTTGAAATTAACCGGCAGGGAAGTGCCTGTCAGTCGCACCTTACCTAGTAATACAGTAAACCTACATCACCTGTTAATGGAGCAGACAGGCAATGCCTATTAAGGGGAGACATATATTACCTATTAATAAGTAGATAGCCATTATTAAGCGAGCACATAGATATAACCTAATAATCAAGCAGACAGGAATCAGTTAATATTAAAATAGAAGTGAATTACCTATTTCTATGTCTGAGGCGGATCATCAATTACTCGTCAGACGAGGTTTGAAAATGCTGGTTGGCTCGCTGTGTGAAAGGCATGCCAGTAAACTGCTAATGGCCATTAGGGCTGAAAGTGCTGCCTTTTCCCCCACTATCTGAGCCGAGAGCAGTTCGCGGCAACGTCAGAAGAAACTCAAATGTCCAGTAAACAATATTATATTTTCATGCAAATTGAAAATAAAAAACCCAACCAGCTCATCTCAAAATTAAGAAGCGACGACGTGTCGGTCCGTCTTGAACCATCGTCTCGTCGTGTCATTATTTTAAGACGTCACTGAGTACCGGGGGATGAAAATGATATAGTTACTCCTACATTATTTACCTCTCACATATCAGCCACTGGTGTCTCCCTCGTCAGTCTTCTTTGACTAGAAGAATTTACGGTGCATTCCGGAGTGAGTTATTTGGTCCAATTACCTGTTCCTGTAGCGTCCTCCCTCCTGTGAGCTGTCAGTCGCTGTCGTCTGTGAACGTGGCGAAGATAAACTGGTCAATTAATGAAGTCAAAGACGGACAAGAGAAGGGGCTGTGGCACAGAAGGGGTGTCAGAGAACGTCCTACATCATGCCCTTCCTACTGATGGAGATCTTCTTGAGGTTATCTTGAGATGATTTCGGGGCTTTAGTGTCCCCGCGGCCCGGTCCTCGACCAGGCCTCCACCCCCAGGAAGCAGCCCGTGACAGCTGACTAACATCCAGGTACCTATTTTACTGCTAGGTAACAGGGGCATAGGGTGAAAGAAACTCTGCCCAACGTTTCTCGCTAGCGCCCGGGATCGAACCCAGGACCATAGGATCACGCGTCCAGTGTTCTGTCCGTTCAGCCACCGGCTCCCTAAACTCAAAATGCTCAAAATGATTACTCAGAGATTAGAGATTACTCAAAATGCCTCGGAATTGTGATTATGACTGAGGGAACTCAAAGGTTTGTTACACGATCACATTAACGTGATGTATCAGGTTATTGTAGAAGTCTTAGACCCCAAGTCTGAGCCCAATGGGGCCGTGTGTGGGACCCTGATTAGCCTTCAGTGGAAGCCTCAGGAGCCCTAGAGGGTTCAGTGGCATCCCAGGTTCCAATGCTTTTGACTATGTTGTGGTGTAGTGGTCTAAGGCGTGTGCTTGGGAGTACTCGGAGCATAGGTTCGAATCCTCATCACGGCTCCTACTAATTTTCTAAATGGTTTGACAGTGTTGGGTGACGTCAGACTTCAGGACATCACGTGGCAGATTTTTTTGGTGAAAAGTGACATCAAATAATATGATATGACGCAACAGTATTTGTGAGGGTGACGTCAAACCTCACGAATTCAGTCGTTGAAGGTGACGTCAACATGGCAGGATTTAGGAAGCTGACGTCAGACTTTATGACCTCACGGGACGTCATTTAATAAGTCACAGAATGATCATTCAAGTCCCACACAACTGATGTTTCCTCACAGGTGTGTAGAGTGGACATATTTACCGCCAGCTGTCTCTAAACCGCTCCAGGTGTGTGTGGTACAGCACTGTACTATGTTGAGAGGTGTGGTACAGTCACAGTACCCTATGTGGTACAGCACTGTACTATGTTGAGAGGTGTGGTACAGCACTGTACTATGTTGAGAGGTGTGGTACAGTCACAGTACCCCATGTGGTACAGCACTGTACTATGTTGAGAAGTGTGGTACAGCACTGTACTATGTTGAGAAGTGTGGTACAGCACTGTACTATGTTGAGAAGTGTGGTACAGCACTGTACTATGTTGAGAAGTGTGGTACAGCACTGTACTATGTTGAGAAGTGTGGTACAGCACTGTACTATGTTGAGAGGTGTGGTACAGTCACAGTACTCTATGTGGTACAGCACTGTACTATGTTGAGAAGTGTGGTACAGTCACAGTACCCCATGTGGTACAGCACTGTACTATGTTGAGAAGTGTGGTACAGTACACAGTACCCCATGTGGTACAGCACTGTACTATGTTGAGAGGTGTGGTACAGTCACAGTACCCCATGTGGTACAGCACTGTACTATGTTGAGAAGTGTGGTACAGTCACAGTACCCTGTGTGGTACAGCACTGTACTATGTTGAGAAGTGTGGTACAGTCACAGTACCCTATGTGGTACAGCACGGTACTATGTTGAGAAGTGTGGTACAGTCACAGTACCCTATGTGGTACAGCACTGTACTATGTTGAGAAGTGTGGTACAGTCACAGTACCCCATGTGGTACAGCACTGTACTATGTTGAGAGGTGTGGTACAGTCACAGTACTCTATGTGGTACAGCACTGTACTATGTTGAGAAGTGTGGTACAATCACAGTACCCCATGTGGTACAGCACTGTACTATGTTGAGAAGTGTGGTACAGTCACAGTACTCTATGTGGTACAGCACTGTACTATGTTGAGAAGTGTGGTACAGTCACAGTACCCCATGTGGTACAGCACTGTACTATGTTGAGAAGTGTGGTACAATACACAGTAGCTCATGTGGTACAACACTGTAGCATGATACTCGTGGTACAACACTGTAGCATGGTACTCGTGGTACAACACTATAGCATGGTACTCGTGGTACAACACCGTAGCATGGTACTCGTGGTACAACACTGTAGCATGGTACTCGTGGTACAACACCGTAGCATGGTACTCGTGGTACAACACTGTAGCATGGCACTCGTGGTACAACACTGTAGCATGGTACTCGTGGTACAGCACTGTAGCATGGTACTCGTGGTACAACTCTGTAGCATGGTACTCGTGGTACAGTACACAGTACTTCATGTGGCTTAGCTTTGTACCATATGAGGGGAGCTACGTGGTAGTATATTGTACCTTACATGGTACATGGCTGTACCCAGTAGGGTACAGTCTTTGGCTTCCTCCTCTCCCTCCTTATGTACCTGGCTTCCTCACCCGCACACATTAATATGTAACTGTTAATGGGTGTTTATGTAACGATATAACGATGGCTGAAGGGGATCACGTGACGTGGGTGTCGGTACTAAACATTTCATTGAATTCATCTTTCTTATGGATTAATATCTGTTACGTTATTGTTAAGTAACGCATTTATAACATAGATTAGTTGCAGTGGAATTACAGATTAATCTTGTTGTAGCGTGGAATACATTATTGTAGTGGAATTAAATGGCAAAATTTCTTCAAGTTTGGACTAGAGTTCGATTGTATTTTCACCTTGTGTGGATATGGGCAGCATACACGCAACACTCAGTTGATGGATTGTGGCTCAGGATGGAACTGGAGGATTGAACCACATCACAACTCAACCATATCTCAACTGTGTTGACCAGACCACACACTAAAAGGTGAAGGGACGACGACGTTTCGGTCCGTCCTGGACCATTCTCAAGTCCATTGTGAGATCGACTTGAGAATGGACCAAGACAGATCGAAACGTCGTCGTCCCTTCACCTTCTAGTGTGAAGGATCTGGTCAACATTCTTCAGCCACGTTAATGTGACTCATCGCCTGCATATCTCAACTGTCCACATCTCACCTGGACCTCATCTCATCTCAGTCATGGAGGGATGCTGTGATGAGTATCTTTGAGATGCTGAAGGATGCTGAAAGCCGCGATTCATCAAAGTCTGACTGATGTTTGGCGAATGACTCCTTCACTAAGGACCTGTTTACGTCCACAGGAAAGGATAGCTGAAGGCAGACGCCACTGCAGCGAATGGTTACAAAGGCTCCAACATGCAACAATCATTGCCACATCAACAATCATTGCCACATCAACAATCATTGCCACATCAACAATCATTGCCACATCAGCAATCATTGCCACATCAACAATCATTGCCACATCAACAATCATTGCCACATCAACAATCATTGCCACATCAACAATCTGTAGTTCCAGACAGTCGTAAGGCTTCCGTTGCCCGGAGGAGGTTAATGTGACGTCTCTAATGATTCCTGGCAGGTGTTGGGACCCCCTCACACACACACCATAATACAGGTAAGACACAGCCCTCCCTCCCTCAAGAGCTTGACTTACAGAGCATCTCAGGAAACCGGTTCACCAGCCTCCTCTGAGGACCTGTGGGGTCTAGAAACCGGCTCTCCGGGATGGGTTTCATCAACGACGCCCCGTAAACCGGCTTGTGGATGAGGGGGGGCAGGGGGGGGGGGGGAGACACAGATACAGCAACATGAATCCTTGAAATATATGGAGGATTTCCCTTCCCATTTTCTATGGTTCTTAAGGTGAAGACATTTTTTTCTTGTACTTGACTGCAAATTGTGTTTGTAATTAGGTAGCTGTGTCAGTGTGAGCTGGTGGCACACTTAGTTATTTTAGACGGGGCGCCCGTCTCTTCGACGGGGAAGACGGGAGGCGGCACTCCGTCTTGAAAATCAGTAAGACCCATGAAAAGGATTCGAACCCACTCGCTTGGTACTAGCAAGCTGGCAACCCCTAAACCAACCCGTCACATGAGAAAACGATATCAGCTTTGTTTCCACTGAACCTTTTAGGATTCCTGAAGCTCATTAATGAAGCCTGGTCGGAGGCCTGGTCGACGACCGGGCCGCGGGGACACTAAGCCCCGGAAGCACCTCAAGGTAAGGTAGCCTCATATTGCGGTTTTAAGCAACCCTTCTCCCCTATGGTCTCTGGCTAATGGTCCAGTAGTTCTAATGGTCCAACAGTTCTAATGGTCCAGTAGTTCTAATGGTCCAGCAGTTCTAATGGTCCAGTAGTTCTAATGGTCCAGTAGTTCTAATGGTCCAGCAGTTCTAATGGTCCAGCAGTTCTAATGGTCTAGTAGTTCTAATGGTCCAGCAGTTCTAATGGTCCAGTAGTTCTAATGGTCTAGTAGTTCTAATGGTCCAGCAGTTCTAATGGTCCAGTAGTTCTAATGGTCCAGCAGTTCTAATGGTCCAGCAGTTCTAATGGTCCAGCAGTTCTAATGGTCCAGCAGTTCTAATGGTCCAGTAGTTCTAATGGTCCAGTAGTTCTAATGGTCCAGTAGTTCTAATGGTCTAGTAGTTCTAATGGTCCAGTAGTTCTAATGGTCCAGCAGTTCTAATGGTCCAGCAGTTCTAATGGTCCAGTAGTTCTAATGGTCCAGTAGTTCTAATGGTCCAGTAGTTCTAATGGTCTAGTAGTTCTAATGGTCCAGTAGTTCTAATGGTCCAGCAGTTCTAATGGTCCAGCAGTTCTAATGGTCCAGTAGTTCTAATGGTCCAGCAGTTCTAATGGTCCAGCAGTTCTAATGGTCCAGTAGTTCTAATGGTCCAGTAGTTCTAATGGTCCAGCAGTTCTAATGGTCCAGCAGTTCTAATGGTCCAGTAGTTCTAATGGTCCAGCAGTTCTAATGGTCAAGTAGTTCTAATGGTCCAGCAGTTCTAATGGTCCAGCAGTTCTAATGGTCCAGCAGTTCTAATGGTCCAGCAGTTCTAATGGTCCAGCAGTTCTAATGGTCCAGTAGTTCTAATGGTCCAGCAGTTCTAATGGTCAAGTAGTTCTAATGGTCCAGCAGTTCTAATGGTCCAGCAGTTCTAATGGTCCAGCAGTTCTAATGGTCCAGTAGTTCTAATGCTCCAGCAGTTCTAATGGTCCAGTAGTTCTAATGGTCCAGCAGTTCTAATGGTCCAGCAGTTCTAATGGTCCAGCAGTTCTAATGGTCCAGCAGTTCTAATGGTCCAGCAGTTCTAATGGTCCAACAGTTCTAATGGTCCAGCAGTTCTAATGCTCCAGCAGTTCTAATGGTCCAGGAGTTCTAATGGTCCAGCAGTTCTAATGGTCCAGCAGTTCTAATGGTCCAGCAGTTCTAATGGTCCAGCAGTTCTCCTACAACGCTTCTCTTCAATTTCACAATAAAATCCCATTATAATTTTCCCATTAATGCATCACATTAATGGGATTTCATTGTGTAAAGTCAATAATGAACCCCTGCTGGGGCTCGAACCCGCACTCCTTGACTTGGGAGGTCAATACCTCACCCATTAGACCAAAGGGGAATATTGAATAAAACTGGCCCATTATTTACATTTATTTACCATTAACTAACAAGAATAATTTATTTTGCCATAAGAACAGTAAAAGATTAAAATTTGTAAAATTAAAATAAGTGTTAAGTCTTGACACTGATAATGGGTGATATACAAGTGAACATTATAGGAAGTTTTTCGCGTAGTTTAGTGAATATTTAAGTAAGCTTCTGCTTTCAGTGTTGATAAATGTTCTGTTTAGCTTCCGGCAATTACCTGTTTCTGTTCTGTTTTGTGAATATCTGCTATTTTATGAGCACACATGTACACGTACACACACATGTACACGTACACACGCATGTACACGTACACACACATGTACACGTACACACACATGTACACGTACACACACATGTACGCCTACACACGCATGTACACGTACACACACATGTACACGTACACACGCATGTTCACGTACACACGCATGTTCACGTACATGTGTACACATACAGCGGTGAAGGAACAAGTGATGAAACTGAGGAAAGGGGAGAATAGATCCACAGAGAATGACAAGGAGGTGTGTGAAGAACTCAACAAGATATTCCAGGAGGTCTTCACAATAGAACAAGGAGAAGCTCCTGCACTAAATGAGGAGGAGGCAAACCAAGCAATTTTGGAGGATTTTGACCTCACCAGTGATGAGGTCAAAAGGAATCTGTTGGAGCTGGATGTCACAAAGGCTGTTGGGCCTGACAGAATCTCACCGTGGACACTAAAAGAAGGTGCAGAAGCACTAAGTGTGCCACTGTCTATGGTGTATAACTGGTCACTGGAAACAGGAGACCTCCCAGAAAGTTGGAAGAAAGCTAACGTAGTCCCAATATACAAGAAGGGTGACAGGCAAGAGGCACTTAACCAGTTTCCCTAACTTGTATACCATGTAAGGTGATGGAGAAGATCGTGAGGAAAAGGCTCGTAGAGCATCTGGCGGGAAACAGCTTTGTAACACACCACCAACATTGGTTCAGAGATGGTAAATCGTGCCTCACAGGTCTAATAGAATTCTATGACCAAGCAACAAAAATTAGGCAAGAAAGAGTAGGGTAGACAGACTGCATTTAGAAATTAGCTTCTAGTAATAGTAATAGTATTTCTAGAAACTAGTAATTTGCCTTGTCGTGTAATAGGGGGAAGAGGAGGGTGATTGTGGCTTGACTCCAACTTACCTATGACCATCCCATGAACAAGGACCGTCACCCTGAAAAAAAAATTAGTGATACTAGCCCCAAGCGTCTGTTCCCACCCTCAATCATCCAGGAAAACAGACACGTTACAGAGTATTGATTGCAATCACAGAGAATTGTTTTTATGTAACTGTTATCTTGATAAAGAACTATTTTTGATTGTTCATTATGAACTTTGAATGTTTTGCGGCGATTGTTTGAATAAATCTGTGAATGGGAACCCTAGATATTATTCATAATGACGGATGAAGATATCTCCTGGTTTGTCAGTAGGCTGTGTGACAGGTGGCCTGTCAGTAGGTTGTGTGACAGGAAGCCTGTCAGTAGGTTGTGTGACAGGAAGCCTGTCAGTAGGCTGTGTGACAGGTAGCCTGTCAGTAGGCTGTGACAGGAAGCCTGTCAGTAGGCTGTGACAGGAAGCCTGTCAGTAGGCTGTGACAGGAAGCCTGTCAGTAGGCTGTGTGACAGGTAGCCTGTCAGTAGGCTGTGTGACAGGTAGCCTGTCAGTAGGCTGTGACAGGAAGCCTGTCAGTAGGCTGTGACAGGAAGCCTGTCAGTAGGCTGTGACAGGAAGCCTGT